GCGGGCAGACAATACTTCCCCAATTCCCCAATTCTTATTCATAAAAATCTGAAATTTCTCTCAGATTTTTGGATCAAAAGCTGAGATTGTTTTCAGATTTTTTTTTTTAAGAGAAAGAAGCTTGGAGCTTGCTTCCCCTCACCTCTCAAGAGAAAATCTGAGATTCTTCTCAGATTTTGGGTAAAGAAGTCAGAATTTCTTTCAGATTTTGGAGAAGAGATTCTCTCCCTTGCAAAGCCCCCTTACCCATTCTACATCAGAAATTCTCTTGCAATTATAATTTCCTCAATAAGTTTTCTTCTCTTTCTCTTTGAATCAAGACACTCCCCACTAGATTTCTCCATCCTATTTGTTAATCATTTATTATGTTACTAATTATAGAAAAATAAAATATTAATAATTGAATGTAAAAGAATAATTAAATTCACTTCTTCTGTCGATAGAAATAAAAATCTACTGATTTTCTTATCCCAAAATTTCTTTCACTTCCTTTTTCCATTCCTTCTATCTCCCTTTAATATAACTTTTTTTTCTTAGGATTAATCACAAAAGAAGAAAAAATGACAAAAGAAATGAATTTGAAAATCTTTCTTCCTTTCCTCTCAGCCGGTTCTCTCTACAAAAACTTTATGTTGCATTTTCTTCTACAAGAACAAATGGAAATGGACTTATCTCTCACGAGGAGTAGTTATTTTTCTCCCACGTATGTGATCCTTCGCTCAGAATTGAAAGTCGAGCCCTCCATCCTGGCTCACGCTCACGTGTGGTCTGCCTGGGCCGCGTCTCCACTCCTATTCTGCTTGGTTGCCCCTCTATTATCGGGTAGAAGCCGGTTCTTGAACCGGCTGAACCGACTCTCAGAAACGTTGATAATGATATTGCAATTTGAGAAAATTTCTCAATAAATAGTCTATAGTATCTAACAACATCTAGAAACCTTGACCATCCTACAATAGCTTTAATTTTGTTCTATTTATAGGAATACCTTTACCACTAATCACATGCTCAAGAAAGATCACATTGCTTAACCAGAATTTACATTTTGAGAATTTCTCACATAGCTTATTTTTCTTGAGTGTTTGTAACACTATATAAAGATGACTTGAATTACTATTTTCATTTCTCAAATAAATCAAAATATTATCTATAAATATTAATAAAACACATATTTATTATTTTCTTATGAGAAAAATAAATCATTTAGATTGCAAAGTTTGTAAAGTTATTCCGAGTGAAAGTTTATATATCTAATATCGCTTATTAGTTTGGACTTTAAGATGAAAGATCATAATATATAAAATAAAGTAAATTATTATTTTATGGTTAGATGAGGCCATTTAAAAAATATTTTTGAGAGTAAATTCTAGATCTTAAGATTTTACCTGTGCATGAAGAAGCTAAAGTTGTTTGGAAAAAAGTAGCTAGTGATATTAATAATATTGCAAAGGATGTACTTGGAGTATCAAAATGAAAAACTTCTAATACTAATGATAGGTGGTGGTGGAATTAAAATGTGCAAGAGAAGATAAAAAATAAGAAGTTTTGTTATAAAAATTAGTTTAGATGAAAATTTTTTGATAATTGAGAAAGATATAAAGAAGCCTGTAAGGAATCTAAAAAGGTAATATGCGGTGCAAAAATTTTAACTTTTAATGATTTATATAATACATTGAATGCTAAGGAGGACAAAAGATATATATGTATAAGTTAGCCAAACAAAGAGATATGAGAAAGAATTTAGTTCAAGTGAAGTGTATTAAGTATAAATATCAAAAAGTGTTTTTATTAGAAGATGATACTTAAAAAAGGGTGATCATATATTTTGCTAAGTTTTTCAATAAAGATTGTGAGAATACGATTGACTTTAGTGACATTAGCATCCTAAATGAAAGTAAAGATTTTTGTTTTAATCGGCATATTAGTTAAACCAAAGTTAGAGAGGTTTTAAAGAAAATGAATTGTGTAAAAGCTGTTGGACCTGATGGTATTCCAATAGAAGTGTGGAAATGCTTAGAGGATGAAGGAATTTCTTGGTTAACTAAATTTTTTAATATTATTTTGGAGACTAAAAAGATGATAGATGAGTGGAGTAAGGGGAATATACCATCGAAAGCTTTTTCTCTCTTAAAGCAAGCTGACTTGGACAAGATTTTATGGGAAATTTTCAATAACAAATTTATATGTACCTACTTTTAACAAGTATTCTGGTACACAGTTATATAATGAACTAATTGAGTACTGCTTATGCATACTTTGAACTTGTGGCAGTAACATTTGCTACGTTGGCAGAGAAGACAACCCTTATGTCTCCTGAAGTGCTAATTAGTTCGGGGATTCCATGTTGCAGGTAATTTTTAATAAGATGAGAATGGGTCTTGATTGTACTTTTTTTTTTTTTTCTGGTTATTAGGTGTGTGTTTCAGATAAGTTGGTAATCTTTCTTGAAACAGGTTGGTGCAGAATGCTGGAGAATTTGTTGTTACTTTTCCAGGATCTTATCACTCAGGATTCAGCCATGGTATTGCAACTTGGTTCGATAATCTTCTACATTTTCTTTTTATTCATTTAAAAGTTGGTGTAAACTTGCATTATTGTTCGATATGGTAAGTTAGGTTCATTTCCCATTAGATGTTAATTTACTGCAGGTTTTTGTTTTAAAAGTTCAAATTTTTTATTTTTTCACGATCTTGATTGATAGATATTTGATTCAAGTATTCTTAAGTTTGGGATCTTTCTGGATTCGATACTCTTTGGCATATAGATATAATGTTAAGTGAACTTTAGATTTTCCATGGTGGCTAACACCCAAATTTTTTTTTTGTATTGACTGAGTTTTTCCATTTTTATGTTCATTGTTTGTCATTAAGAACATTTTCCTCTATGATATTGTATTCTTCATCTGATGGGATTAAACCTGTCTGGCTTTGCTGCATTCTTATATATCATCAGAACAATGCATTACAATTATACCATGGTGGGAATAATGAATAATTTCTGAATATTAATTCAGCCTTCACAGTAATTCTTAATATATTTAAGTGTAGTTATGCCACTTTTAAAACACCTTTCAAGTTAATCCAATCTTAACCTGACCTTGTTCTTGCTTTGTTGGAACTTTTTGTGCCATCGAACTGCCAACTTAAACTAAATTGGGCAAGCAAGAGCAACACTGCATTGTTGGATGATGTGGGCTTGGTTTTCTTTTTGGTTTTGATTCGGACTACATTTAAAAAAGCTGATGTCAGTGGTTGGGACCAATGATTAAAAATGAGGCTGCATTTTTTATTCCATTTCATTTGTTACACACATTATGCCACTTTTCCTTATTGCCAAACTTCATATTTTGTTTTTAAAACAGCCTAACATTGCATAAACCATGAGTAATTCTATTTTGTTTCATTGCTATCAAAGTTTAAAATTGCGCAATTGTGTATTGATGTGTTTTCTGTTCATGAGGCGAGGCGTAAGCCTCAAGGCTTTTTGAGGCGTAAGCCTCAAAATCCAGTAATTACATGAAGGGAAAATAAATGTTATAAGTGATTTTTTATATAATACAAAATAATATATTAAAGAATAACATATTAGTTTTTTGTTGAACTATAAAGTAACAAATTAACATGTATATGAAAAAATTGTACATGATGTAAAATGACAAGTGATAAATTGTGTAAAATAGAATTGAAATCCCTGAACAAAATAACTTAAAGTATAGGAATTGCATAAAAGTATCATATGACATCAAGTTTAACTTCAAATTCCTTCTTTCTCACTTCCTTACTCATCCACAATTAATTCTTAAAGAAAGATAAAATAGTTTTCAAAAAAACAAAGATAAGGAACCACGAACCCGGCCGTCTTCAAGGTTGGTGGATGATCCGATCTCCCTCTCCTAGGGCTCTCGCTCTCTCTCCAAGCACTCTCAAGATCTCTCAAGAACTCAAGGAATAACACAAAATTTTTTTATCATTCAATCATTAACTTTAGAAGAAGAACATGAGGGCTATAAATAGCCTCGTACAAAAAGGACTCAAGGATAAAAGACGACATTGCCCTTAGGGCTTACATACAACTTCCCTTAAGCAAGTGGTAAAACGAGAAAAACAATTACAACATAAATAACAAATAACATAATAAAACAAATATACGAAATAATTCAAAACACATCGACTCGATCGTGGCCATAGATCGACGGCCATGCCTCAGATTTACTTTTCATGCCCTGATATCCTCATCAGAATATCAAGGTTGGTTCTCTAAAAGTATATCTAGATGTGGAAGTTAAATAAAATGAGTTGTAGGTTTTGAAAAATGGATTATTTTGTTTTACAATTATCATGTCAAAGAAAAGCATATTCTAATGTCTAAGAATCATGTAATTTAACTTCATTCTTAATTTTTGGTTAGAGTCAAATTACAAACTTATTGATATGTTGCTAATTTGGATCAATGCAATTTGTTTTTGCTAAGGGAGACTTGTACATATTCATGCAGTTAGTCATAGGTATTGTTCCCTTTTTGAGGGTCAAAAGTTAGCTATGTAGATATTTTTCATAAAACTTAAGTAGTATTTGGCTTTTAAAAGTTCTTTTATGTGGGTTAGATTCACCTTTTCTTAAGTTGGTTTTATTGGGTATACTTTGTGTGGAGGGTTTGAGTTGTGTAGAGGGGTTGGGTTGACATCTTTAGTTGAGTTTCTAGGATATTACTTGATAGTTTTTTTCATTGAATTTGAATAAATTAATGTTCTCTGTGTTGCGAATCTATTTTCGGGGAATATAATTTTGATGATAGCAAACACTTCTATTTCTCTACGACTGCCTTGCCTACTAACATTTTAGGTCCACAAGATCAAACTGCAATTTGAACCAGCTCAAGATTGGGTAGACTAGGTCCGAGTCAGTTTGTAAACTTTTCCTTTTCTTGAGTCTATTGTAAACGATGTGGTTCTTGATGCTAAGTAACCATGCACATACACACTTGAGAAAATTTCTAACTGTTTTTAGAGTTGTTCATTTTTTCTCACATCGTCCGGGATGATCCATAAATCGTCCTAGACGATCAGATAAAAACAGAAACCCTAATTAGAGCATCATTGTTAAGGCAGCCGTCATTAAGTACATCGTCCTGGACGATATTCATATCGGCCGGGATGATAGACTCAAATTAGAAAGAATCAACCGCTAGATTTATTTAGGAATTGTTTATTTTTAGACATCGTCCAGGATATCGTCCTGGACGATGCAACACAATTATGCCTAAATAAATTTGAATTAATCGAAATATATAGAAATGCATGCTATCATATGAGAGAAATGCTGTCTTTAATTTACAAATATATGAAATTTGAACTATTTCTTATGCATCGGTTAGGTATCTCACATTGCTAGGAATTGGTTCTCCTAGAGTCGGCTTTCTTTTCCTTTTGTACACTATCTCCTTTAAACTTATCATCCAACAATAACCCTTCTTTTCCCGAAAAACTCTTTCTCCACTGCCTTCCCTTACCTTTTTCCTACTCCACCTTTCTTTCCCTTTGACTTCAGCAACATCAACTAAATTTTATAACCGTGTTTTTAGCAACTATAAAGTTCAATAATCTTTCTGAATTCCAAAATGCTGAATTCAACTAATACATCAACCTTTATAACTGCTTTTCGTTCCCCTACCAGCTATCTTTAACTCTTCTCCCTACTGATTTTTCACAACCCATATTTCGGCACGCACTATGCAACAAAATACTATTTCAGAAACATAACATTTGAGAATACAACCACTGTTTTCTTTCAGATTTTGGAATCCTACGCAAGTCACAACTGAGTTAAATATTTCTTTTCAGATTTTAGATTTGAGAATAGTTATAGATATTTTTCATTACCTGAGTAATGAGCAATCAACACTTCAAGCCACAGATCCCACACACCGAAGCCCGTTTCCTTTAGCCCCTCACTCCCACGGCCAACAACTCTCGGCAACTTCACTGCTCCGTATGCCAGGGAGCAATGTGAAAGGAATAAGGGGAAAATAAAATGCCTTATTAATAGTATGAAAATTCCACTAAGAACTTTTATATTCTACTCCACTAATTCCTTTCAAAACACCACCCATCTGTTGATTTCCAATCTTTTTAATCAATTGAATACATGCAAAGCTAAGTGATGTGGGTACAATAATAATAATAAAATAATGAAATGGCACATACTGAAATAGAATAATTACATTTCTGTGAAAGATGAATAACAACATTTTTCTTCTTTTTTTTCTAATTAACTGTGATTGAGAAAATATCAATTATTCATATAATAGATGAAATGCCCAAAATTAAAAGTTTATGCTTACATTTATTTTGAACATTTCGGGTATTGCAAATCACTCCTCGTTATTTAAATTTCGTCCTCAAAATTCATAGTGGTCATCAAACAAATGAGGAAATCTCAATTTAATGTATTATTCCCTTTTCCAGGTTGCCTCTTTTTCTGGTATATATTTCAATTTCACTTTAACATAAGGAATCTGATGATTTTTGAGCTATTTAATATTGAAATCTAGTATTATTTCTAGTTCTTCAGTATTAGTCAAATTCTTCTATAGCTCAATTTTATCATGTGAAATTTCTCATAGGCATTTGTAACCTATTTCCATAGCAATGACACATGAAAAATTCTATAGATATCTGACATGTCATTTGAAAGAGCAAGTCTTTAAGCAACATTATCAATCTTCTCAATGATTTCAAAAGGTTCTATATACCTAGGATTCAATTTGCCTCTTTGTCCAAATCTAGCTATACCTTTTAGAGCTTAACCTTCAGAAGTACAAAATCATCAACTTTAAACTCTACTGCTCTGTGCTTGAGGTCATAATACTTTTGCTGACGATCCTAAGCAACTTATAATCTATCTCTGATTAATCTAATTTTCTCTGTTACTTCAACTAATTCTAGACCCATTTGCTGCCTTTTTTCTACCTCAACCCAAGTTAAGGGAGTTCTACACTTTCTATCATAAAGTGCTTCATCTGGTATCATTTGTATATTGAATTGGTAGCTATTGTTGTAAGCAAATTCTATAAGCTAAAATTTAGCAACAAACTTTAATGGTTAGTGTGCATTGATTTTGCACGTCACTTCATGCTTGGATGATTTTTTTGTTTGTGCGGCGACCTTTGAATTTGGGTGTTAATCTTAGTTGTTTCTACTATTTCAAATGGGTTGCGTAGGCCATTTTGTGAACAGATGATGTTTGGTTGATTTTGACTTTTTGGCTTACACATTTTAGACAACATTAGCATGGCGTCAAGTCTTTCACTCGTCATTTTTATCAAGTTTAGTCGGGTCGACCTCGAAGTGTTATTGATGTCAGCACATCGTGAATGCTCTTCCACTAATCTTCCTTCGCTAGTTTTTCTCTTTTTCTTACACTATTCTATCAAAAAAATTTGTTCTTGAACGTAAATTAGATCGAGTGTTTCAAACCCATTTGTTTTCCTGAGAGAAGAGAAAATGAAATTTAAATGAGGTTTGGGTTTACTTTAACTCAAGCCATAGACGAGGAACAAGAAATCTCATCAGTTTGTTTCAATTCCAAGCCCTGGCCACATTTAGCTATCCGTTGTGTCTCATGCTTAGTGTTAGTAGTTAGGTTGCACATGTAACTCCACCTCTTTGCTTGCTCGGCTTTTCTCTCTCTTTCTCTCTCTTGCTCCTCTCCTGCTTGCACTTTCCTTGTATATTTCTTGGTCTCGCCTTTCTTTACCTGCATCTATCTCTTGATTCGCTGCCCGTTCTCTCCTTACTATCTCTCTCAGTCTCTTTTCGGGCTCTGTTTCCAGCACCTCTGTCTAACAGTGAAACTAGCTAAATGTAAATTAACTTGAACTGACACTGGCTAGTTTATCTTCTTATTTTTTATGGGATTTTACATACGTCTGCTGATGTTAGATGTGTATTAAAGGACTACTTTTAAAGAATCCCCAGAGCAGATTCATATCTTTTCTCTGGGCTGGTTTGATGTTCGTAGGCTTTGCTGGTTCTTATGAGCTTTTAAAAAATCCACACACATTAATATTTAATATTTTTAATTATGTACCTTTATAATGATTTTTGAATATTCTTATATATTGGTGGTTAAAATATTTTATAAATGAGTCTACTTCACTTGAATCAACTTAAAATTGAGTTGAAATCAACCATTTTTTACTGATCTGAATTTGGTTTGAGTTTAAATTGATATCTTCGGCTTCGAGTTTAGGCTAGCTTGCTTGAAATCGACTCTATATCATCTCTACTCATGGTTTCCAAACCTACCTAGAACTTGGAGGTCCAAATCATGTTTTTATGGTAAGAGATCAAAGTTCAGCTTTGCTATGATGACGATGAGTGTTGCTTCAAAGTGTTTAGTATAGATTTTGGTTTTCAAATGGATGTGGTTTCCTTAATGGGCATTCACTTTTTTTTCCTTTCCGGTTCTGGCATGCAATTTCTAAAAAATCTACAGATAATCTTCATCACATCGGTTAGGTGGCCTCTAATCTTTTTGTTGTGGCTTCCTACCGATTGTTATTTAAATGCTATATTGTATTCTCCACTTCGTTAAATTGATTTATTCATTCGAGTAAAATATTTTAATTTATTTATTGTCTTATTTCAGGATTTAACTGTGGGGAAGCATCAAATATTGCAACTCCTGAATGGTTAAAAGTCGCCAAAGAAGCAGCAATTCGGAGGGCATCAACGAACTGTCCTCCTATGGTTTCTCACTACCAGTTGCTTTATGCTCTTGCTTTGTCTTTGTGTTCAAGGTGGGCTTAATCATCAATCAGGAAACATGCTTACAGATTTTTAGGTCTCCAATACCTTATGAAATTCTTTCTCTCATTTCTCATGCATCATGCTCACTTTCAGTGATTTAACTTTCAAATCCTTGAACATTTTTGAAGTTCTTCAATTTTGCTAGGGTTTTTATTGGTGAAGTGTAAATGTAGAAGTTATCTTCATTAAATAAGCATATGAGACAGAGCAAAAGGAACGGTTGTAGTTGAACTTTTGAAGCTTTGCTTTTGTTGAGAAAGGTAGAATCTAATCTATTGCACAAATGTAATGATAATTTGGAGCTGGTTTATGTATTATCATTTTCCATTCATTTCTATTAATGATTTTTTCGAGGTATTAAACTCATTATTAGTGAATCCTTTTGAACATATTTTTTCATATTGCCTCAAATTTATCCTTTATCATACTAAGCCTTGTTGTAGTTTCATCAACTCGACTATTGAACATATTCTCTATCCTTTGTTGTACGTATTAAGAATACCTTAACCTATATTTACGATTGCCTTTTCTTCAATATATATCATTATACTGTTTTTTATGTATAACAATTCTTTAATTTAAAATTACCCAAAATAATGTAATTAGATCATGAACAAACACAAGATAAGAGTAAAGCCGTTTTTACTATTATATTCATCCTTTTTCCTTACCATACATGCAACTATAATTACGATGGAATGAAAAACAGAGGAAAACACTTGGTGGGAAATCATCCCATCCAAATTAATCTGGTGACAGCACAATAGCTAACCACCTTCCATCTTAAAGCCCAATGGACAATCCAACTTCATACATAATAAGAGGTAAAAAAGAAAACATTGCAAAAGCGAGCAATTAGTGGATAGTAGAATTAAGATAAAAAAGGAAGGAGGTAAATGTGATATTTGAATTCAAATTAATTCAAATACTGCACTTAATACTGCAAATAAGGATCCAGCTACCTTTTTAGTCATAAATGGTAAAAAATAAAGTAATTTTGAGCAAATCTTCCAATACTCTCCTTCAATATTAATCATTTCTAACTTGTTGAACGTGCTTTTGAAAACTGGATTTTTTAGAATCTTAGTAAGAACAGTAGCTTTTTGTTAGGAGTTTAACACAATTTAATGCCTCCGTATTTAATTTTTCGCTTGATAAAGCTGCAATCATATCTAAAATGCTTCATTCGATCATAATGCTAATTATAGTGGACTTACTATCACTATAAAGTATAGTAAGTTTACAGTTTTGTATTTGTAAATCTTCCATCAACCTTTCTTGCCAAATAATATCACAAGTTACTTAAGCAAAAATATGAAATTTAGCCTTGATACTGCTCTTGCCAAATAATATCACAAGTTACTTAAGCAAAAATATGAAATTTAGCCTTGATGCTGCTCGTAGCAACCACTGTTTTTTTTTTTTTCTCTCCATGTGATTAGGTTTCCCCATAATTTTGTGTAGGATCCTAAAGTAGACTTACTATCCTTATTTCCAGTCTAATTTGCATCTGCAGAGCCTTTTATTGTTTATTTCTCATTCTTATAAAACATTAGACCTCTTCTTGGATTGCCCCTATGATATTTTAATATATGATCAACAATATCCATGTGTCAATTAGTGGGAGGATGCATGAACTCTCACCACACTTATTGCATGCAATGTTGTCTATTTAGTGTTTTAGTGAAAGATAATTTAGTCTTCTCATTTCCCATAGATATCTTTCTTTATCCATTGATGAGACATCATCGTTTACCTTCCACTTATAGTTCTTCTCTAGTTGGTTCTATTGGTTTGCATCCCAACTTTCGGGTCTCCTTATGGTCTTTAGTGTATTTTTATTGGGAGGTGAAGATTCTATATTGACTCAGAGCCAAATCCATGGTAAAAATACCACTTATGATCAGAATATGATCCTCATATACGATCATGATTGACTTTTCCCCCTTTTCTCTCACTTTTATTAATATAATGTGATTAACCTTTCCCTATTTATATCCTATTAAGACCCTGGTATTGGTTAAATGACTTTTTTTGAAACCATGGGTAAATCTAGATTAACGTTAGCAGCTTCCTCATTCTGAACTTGTTCTGGCTTTAGATGACTAGCTATGTTGAGAGGTTCTAGGTTTTTCCCGAGTATGTAACAATTTAGGTCTCTCAGGGATAGTTTTCCCCCATGGAGTAGTCATTCAGTAGAATGTTGAGATTTTTTGTGCTAATATGGAATCAAGAGCTGGACTTGAAAATTTTAGAACATGTTAAGAATAGGTAGAGAAATGGTGGAGTTTCAATGATTTTCTTCATTGAACTTTTCTCCATGTTGGCTAGTATTGGAGTAGAAAGATTTATTCTCAAAGAAATGGCATCAAGAGAGATTGAATTTTTTTTAAGGTTGAAGAATATTATTTGAGCATTTTTTTTTGAGCAGTTAGTTGATGATCATGCACATAAATAGTACACCCGAATATTTTGGTGGATAATGAATTAAGGATACTGTTATGTGGGCATTAATTAAGTAGACTCAGTGGGGCTCAATAGTGAAGTGTTTTGTTATAGACTGTTCATACGGTAAGTAGATGTGAGAATGACCTACCTTATTAGGAGTTCGGACAATCTTTTGGAACAAAATTTGTGAAAAAAATGGAATGTACAATTTCTTAAAGATTACGGATGTTTAGTTCAACTACTTCATATTATTGAGGAGAATAATCACAAACACTTGATGGAGTTTTCCATTATTACACATATATTGAGTAAATTCTTGTGAGAACTATTCTTTCCTTGATCAATACTTTGAATAGAAGTTTAAAAAACTTTTGAATGAGTTTATTAAATTGCTGAATTGGGCACATACTTGAGATATTTCTTTGATAGGATAGGATAGACCAAATAAACTCTAGTACAGTTATCAAAAAAGGAAATGAGCCATTGATTTCTTGTCAAATTTGAAGTTCTTGTAGATTGCCAATATCCCTGGGATAAGCAAAAATTCATTTATGGGTAATAAGATTATGGTTGATGAACATACATTTTTGATGTAGGCAAGGGGGGGTCAACACTTGTCCAAAATAAATCAAATTTTGGCTTCCCTTGAGTCTAGTACTTCAACATATTTGAGCTGAACTTTTAGTTCATTTATGAGCTGGATTTTAGTTCATTTATTGAACTAAGGGTTAGCTCATTATGAGCTAACATTTTAGTTCATTTATTATCTTTTAATTAATGTAATTTTATGCTTTTTATGTTTGTTTTAATGTTTGTCTCTTGGAATTCCAAACCGGCCTTTGGAATTCCAAGAATTTGCTTTTCCCATGAGGTAACTCCTTGGTTTCCTCCATGGCTTTTTGTTTTTTCGTGTATGCCTCTTGGAACTCCGGCTGGCCGCTGGTTTTCCCGTGCCTGGGCTTCTTCTCCTGTGGCCGTGGCTCCTCGGTTCCGCTCGGTCTGCTTGTTTCCCGCGCTGGCTGTTTCGGTTCCTATGTTTGGGTGATTTCCGAAAGCTTGGGGGGGAATTCCCATGCTTTTGATGCTTAGTTTTATGTGTTAAATTAATGTAATATGTCTTTTGGTCTTCCCCTTTCATACCTATATATATGGGGGGGTATTGTAATGTTTTAAAGAAGTGAATGAAATTTGATTTTTGGAAAAAAATATGTTAACCTGCGGGTTGCTTGGAAATCCTGCGGGCTCTTTCCAACCTTTCTCCTCGGGCTTCTAACCTCTTTCGTCTCTCCGCAAGTGCCACTCCACCTGTATCTTTCTTCTCCAAGTGCAGCAACTTTAGGGTGTCGTCTTTAATTTTAAGTTTGCAAATCGTCGTCGTTGTAATTCCTTTTTTTTAGTTTTATTTGAAATGTAAGAGTTTGTTCGTTTCTACTTCTCGTCCTTAGTCATTTTCGTCAGTAGGAGTCTGTCGTATCTTTTGTGATCAAGAGATATAGGTCCCCTTTTTTTATGTCAAGTTAGGTGTGAGTTTAGTCAAGTCGTTAGTCTTGTCTTAAGTTTTTAGATTGAGTCTTGTAAATTTTTTTATTGAGTCAAAAAATGGAAAATGCTCCTCGGTTCCGCTCGGCCTGCTTGTTTCCCGCGCTGGCTGTTTCGGTTCCTGTGTTTGGGTGATTTCCGAAAGCTTGGGGGGGAATTCCCATGCTTTTGATGCTTAGTTTTATGTGTTAAATTAATATAATATGTCTTTTGGTCTTCCCCTTTCATTCCTATATATATGGGGGGTATTATAATGTTTTAAAGAAGTGAATGAAATTTGATTTTTGGAAAAAAATCTGTTAACCTGCGGGTTGCTTGGAAATCCTGCGGGCTCTTTCCACCCTTCTTTCTCATCTCCTCCGGAAATCCTGCGGGCTCTTTCCAACCTTCTTTTCTCATCCCCTCCGGAAATCCTGCGGGCTCTTTCCAACCTTCTTTTCTCATCCCCTCCGGAAATCCTGCGGGCTCTTTCCAACCTTTCTTCTCGGGCTTCTAACCTCTTTCGTCTCTCCGCAAGTGCCACTCCACCTGTATCTTTCTTCTCAAAGTGCAGCAACTTTAGGGTGTCGTCTTTAATTTTAAGTTTGCAAATCGTCGTCGTTTTAATTTCTTTTTTTTTATAGTTTTATTTGAAATGTAAAAGTTTGTTCGTTTCTACTAAGAGTTTGTTCGTTTCTACTTCTCGTCCTTAGTCATTTTCGTCGGTAGGAGTCTGTCGTGTCTTTTGTGATCAAGAGATATAGGTCCCCTATATTTTTTGCTCGCATCAATTTTGCATTCAAAGGGAACATTTCCTTGATGATAGATAAAGTTGGTTATAAATTCTTGGGAGAACTAGGATTTCATAACCTATTGTGTCATAACATAGCATCAAATTAGAGAAGTAGAAATAGGCAATCTACTCTGTGATTGGAATTTGGAGGAGTCTTTGAGGGCGGAGCTATAAATCTTTTTTCTCATCAACGCTACCAATTATCTTCCTTGATGGGTACACGTAAAACTC